CAGAGGTCTGCTGCACGACCTCCTCCCTCACCTGGAAGCAGTCCATTCTTCACGCCGGACCACTTTACAGCTTACAGTCCGTAAGAAGCTTACAGTCTCTTCGAGGACTTTGTTATGGGCTGAACTGTGTCCCCTCCAAAAATTCATACTGAAGTCCTAAGCCCCAGTACCTCAGAATGCGACTGTGTTTGGAGACAGGGTTTTTAAAGAGAGAATTAAGCTTGAATGAAGTCATTGGGAAGTCATAGGGAAGACACTGAGAAGTTACAGGGAGAAGAAGGCCATTTACAAACTGCCATCTACAGATGCCGGCAAGCAATCCTATAATGATGTCTAATTCTTTGATTCCCTGTAGCTTTTACAACATGCAAAACCTTTTCATTCTTTCCTCTGTATGTCTGTTTTTCCACTAAGACAGCTTCTGGAGCAGTATATTTATTTTGTGTTCTTCCCAGTACCTAACCCAATACAACATAATCCTAATCCATCTAGCATTACTATCTACTAAATGAATAACTACCTCAGATCTTCTTGGGAAACATTTCACAGGAAGGCAATGGATTACTTCACATTAGTTTCCTTTATCTGGAAATAGCTCTTCATGTCCTTATTCTTATTCACCCACATGGAACCCCACTAAAATTATTTAATCCTAGCAAGTCAACTTTACCATACTAAACATCATTTCCCAACTGTATTTATATTGATGCTCTCCTATGCATGACACTAATTTACAAGAGAAAATAATACCTTTGTTGTTATAAATATGGGGTTTGATAATACATGTAACAATGTAACTAGAGCAAATGAATTCCTATGTTAGGCCAAATGTGTTTTAAAGGCACATAAACTATTTGGGAAATAGTTCTAAGTGCTCCTAGTTACACGTTAAATGTGCTAGCACAAATAACTATTTATACAGTTATATGTACATTTAGTTATATGTGCAATAGTTTGGATCCCTCAGGGCCAAGCCGAGGATGCACAGAACTACTCCCAACCCGGTACCCCTCAACATGGGCACAGAGCTGGGAGTCCAGAAGCAGGGCCTGAAGTGCCACGGGGCCAGACACAAGCTCTCCACCCACCAGGATGTGGCTACCGGTAAGGAGGTAGCACCATTAAGCAGTCCTGAATTCCGTGAGTTGTCTGCTTCTTTACTTTGAAATATAGGATCTTTTGCTGGCAAATGTGTTGTTTGCTCTAGCATATATGGGGACATTTCCAATCCAATACATCAACTTTGCCTCAAGATATTTTATGAAATTCACAGAGCACTTTGTGCATATTATAAACATACAAAATGAAGCCAACCGCAACTCAACCTAAGAGAGTCAAGTCTATGAGGTCGGCCTTGGGATGTAAGCTGGAGAAAACGATCTGCCTTTAACTCAGGACAGTTATCTGCTAGACAATCCATTGTTTCATGCCAGTTTCTAAATCCCTTAATCTTACCTCTAGACAATAGGGCCACTTCTTCATTTCTAACAGCCTCCCCACCCCAGCAGCTTACGGCTAGAGGCCTGCATCAATGCAAAATCACACTTCAAGGATTTCCAGGAACCTCTCTGAGCACACCACTTTGCAGGGATAAAGTTAACACCCTGGGGACAATCTCTACTCCCTCACAGTACGTGCATTTAAAAGGTATACCAAATGCAAAGACGTCTTTAAGGGCCAAACAGGGCAGTGTCTATCTGATAGGAATCTGGAACACACTAAAAACTGTGACTGACAGCCCTCCCTTTCCAAGCCACAAAGTCAGGCGGCTTAGACCATAAAAGGAAGTGTGGTAAAGGGAGAAAGAAACCCAGAAACAAGAGACGGGGGAAGAAATACTGAAAGGAGTCAAGGAAAGAAAAGCAACACGTGTAAGAGGAATGTATACATATGACTGATCTGTTAGTAACTCGTTGAGATAAATTTCATCAGTTTTTCTGTTTGTTTTAGCAAATGAAGTAGGAAAAAAGAGCAGTAAAGAGTCCAGCTAGCCTTGCCTAAGTGACAACTTGCCTCTGGAAAGGAACCTATGACATCCCCTTAGCCCTCCTCTCTCTACCTAAATAAACAAAACTATCATTCTATCTGCAGATAGAAGTCACTACAACTCCCTGCAAAACAACCTGAAACATCGCTATCTGTATTAAACTTAACATAACTAAACACATAATTTCTGCCAATCAGAAACTCCACTTTATCCTAGATTCTAACAGAGAAAGATACCAAAAGGTTATGAAAACTTTTTGGGAGTGAAACTTGGAAATGAGAAAAATCCAACACATTAACTGAATTTGTCCATCTACTAGGGAAAAGTCTGCCAGTTCAGGGGAAACTCGAAACTGGGCCTGAAAGGCAATAAAATTAAACAGCGCACCCATCACAAGAGGGAAGATTTAAGCAATACTTTTTTTTTTTTTTTTTTTTGGTGAGGAAGATTGTCCCTGAGCTAACATCTGTTGCCAATCTTTCTCCTTTTGCTTGCGGAAGATTATTGCTGAGCTAACATTTGTGCCAAACTTCCTCTCTTTTGTATGTGGGACACTGCCACAGCATGGCTTGATGAGCAGTATGTAGGTCGGTGCCTGGGATCTGAACCCTCAAAACGAGGCAGCCGCGAACCCCAGCCAAGCGAACTCAACATTATGCCACCCGGTTGGCCCCAAGCAATACTTTTAAAGCCTGGTCTTGGTTGGCAACTTTTTCTGTAAAGAGTAAGATAACAAATATTTCAGACTTTGAAGGCTATACTTTTCTGTCTCAACTATGCAACTCCTCAATTCTGCCACTGTAGCTGTGAAAGCAGCCACAGACAATAAGTAGGAGACACAGACGACAGGAATGAGCGTCACTGTGCTCCAATACAACTTTCCTTATGGACACTCAAATTTGACTTTCATATAATTTTTACACGTCATGAAATATTCTTTTGATTTTGTTTTCAACCATTTAAAAATGTACAAACCATTCCTAGCTCCAAAACTTCAGGGGAAAAAACAGGCTGTAGTAGGCTGATTTGGCCCGTGGCCCTTACCTTTACAGACCTTGGCTGTCAAGGACCCTAATGTGAACTTTGAGCGGAATAGAGCCCAATCTAGACAGACCCGCCCGTTTGTAAACCAGCCCATTAGCAAGCAGGCAATGCGGGCAGCCCAGACAAGATTAACCCCACCACCCTCTAAACCCGCTCAGCCCCTCCCTCAGGTCAGGGCACAGGTGCATCCAGCCAGAGCTCCGCCTTGTATTACAGTTCGAGCCACGGAACTTCAAGCTCTGTTGGGTTTTTAAATGCAATTGTTTACCTAAATTCTACCAGGCGCTAAAGCGTATACTATACAAATTTAGCTGATTCCATCCTTACGAAAAGTTTCGTTGTAGTCACCTATACCCAAATTCAACATGTAAAAACTTCCAAACCATCACGTCGTTAGTTTTTCAGATTAGGTGGTTTATTCTGTAAAAAGAACCCTTAAATGAGGAATGTCTATGGAAACACGAAAGGGATGTTTACACCACAGCTGTCCACCAAAGCTGGATGCGAGTCTGGCCACTTCTCAGATTCTTCCCCTCTCAACATCAAAAGAACACGGAGAGGTTTCCTTCTAGGCTGGTGAAGTCACGGTCCTCTTATCTGATGTTACCGGTGAAACACTAGTCGCCACCCTCCCCCTCCCCACCCCAAGGCACGCAGGGCCCAGGCTCCGGTTCTTCCCAAGCGGAGCAGCCTCAGCAGCCCCACCCGCGGATTTGGATAGAGGCGCCCTGCCGCCCGGACTTGCCCCCGGCCACTGCGCAGCAGCGGCCACCTCCCGCCCTCGCCCGGCCCCTCCTCCTCTCCGCAGTCCCAGCTTGAATTTCCATGTGATCCGCAGGAAAGAATAGCCAGGGCTTTGTGCCTCTGCAAAGAACGCAAGCAAAAATTTACACCATCACCACCACCAGCACACACACACACACACACACAAAACTCCCCAAGACACAAAGCGTCTCCCGACCACCGCCTCCCTAGGAACATCCGGCATCCCGGGGCTGCGAAATCGCAGACAAAGGCGCCCCACAGGCCCGCGGGGGGGATGCAGCGGGACGCGAGAGCAAAATGCTCGCACCCAGCGGGGCCAGGGATGAAGGGGCACAGGCGCTACGGGGGGGATAGGGGGCGAGTCCCAATTAGCGGCGCGCTCTGTGTCCCCGCCGCCGAGGCCGGAGACGCCAGCCTGGGGGCATTTCTCCCCAGCCGCTGCCCACCCCGTACAGCCCGGCACGGAACCGCGGAGGTGGCGCCGGGCAGCGGCCACAGCAGCGCAGAGCAACAGGCTCCCGCGCCCCAGGCCTGGAGGGCCCCTTCTTGGCATCCATACTCTGCCCCTCCAGGGGAAAGAAAAGAACAAACTTTTAAACCATTTACAGTGAGCAAGAGCACAGGCGGGTGGACGGGGGGAGATTAAAAGGGCTGGACTATCGTTCGGGGGCCATGCGAGGAGCAAAGGAAACTTCCAGACCGCATCCTTTTCAGGAGCCCGAGAAACAGCGGCTCCCCGAGAGCGCCGGGCCGCGCGGGGAGGGGCGAGCACACCCCGCCCGCCGGCCGGCCACCCGCCCCGCGCGCCGAGCCCCGGGCGCCCGCGCACCCTCCCGGCCGGCGCGCGCGCAGGGCGCGGGGACGCGCTCCGGCCTCCCGGCCCGGGCCCCGGCGCCGCTTACCGGGCTCGCGGCGGCCACCGCGGGCGGAGACGCGAAAGGGGAGGAGGGCTAGGGAGCGGGGTCGCCGGGGTCCCCGGGGCCGCGGGGGCCTCGCCTCGCCCCCGCTCGTTCTCTTCTCCGCCGAAGTAACGGCCGGCGACGAGCTTCGGGATAAGCGCGCACAGGCACACGCTCACGCGCCGCCGGAAAACTTCATCCCGCCCGGCGCCGGCGGCCCGACGCCAACCGCGCGCCGCCGCGCCCCCGCCCCCCGCGCGCCGCACTTGCGCCGACCCGGGCTGCCGGGGAGGCGGCGGGGCCGGGGCTGCCGGGGCTGCGTGACGCCTGCGGCCGCGGGGCGGCGGGCGGCCAATCAGGGGGCGCGGCCGAGGCAGCCGGGCCCGGGTTTTAAACCAGCTCCTCCGGCGCGCGGCCTCGGATGATGTGGGGCGCGGACGCTGTGCGGCTGCCGGAGGGAACGCCGGGCGCCCCGTTAGATGCGAATGTCACACAGAAAGGAATACTTATTTTGGACAAGTATGTTCGCTGCGACGTTTGGGAGATACTTATACGAAAAAATTATTCGTTGTTTATCTGGAATTCGAATATAACCGGGCGTCCTGTATTTTTACTTGCTAAATCTGGCAACCCATGGGAACTAGTAGCCTCTATTTCTAGTTCTGGGAACTAAATAATTTCTTATCTAGACTAACTGCTTTGTGGATGCTTTCTGCATTGGTAGCTTATTAAAGTGGTGTGGATTGGTGATGGGAAGCACTGTAATGAAAAGGCATGGGGAGGTTCATAATCTCATTTTCTAAGTAACTTTTAACACTTCAATATGCATTCTTAGACTTATGCTCTAATTAAAAGACAAAAACAATAAACATGGAGGAAGGGTTCAGAATTGCATGGTGCCAGGAAAAATATTCATTTCCATTTTGCGTCATTTAAGATTATCTTTCTAATACTCTCCTTTTCTGAGTCCCAAGAATCTTTTGTGGGAGAAAATTGCTCTGTTTTTCAATACATAAGTCTAATATTACAGTATACATCAAAAGATAGTCAAGTCCAATTTAAAATTTTTAAAAGAATGTTTTTAATATCCTAAATAAAAGTTTTATTTTCTTTGACAGACTTGTAAGTTTTTTTGTTTTCTCTACTAAAAGAAATCAATTTGCATTTCTCCAGTATTCACCAAATATTTAAGGGAAAACAACAGTTTAAAAAATATCCAAGGCTTCAGGGGGAAATTGATTGGAGCTTCTAAATGGATATTTTCAGGAAGCTGCAAAATAGATCATTTGCCGGCACATAATTGGAAGTTGAGTGGAGTGAACTCTGCTGGGGATGGAGAGAATGCTGTCAACCCAAGGCCCCTTGTGCTTTCACAAACATGAATCAGTGTAGATTTGCCCACTGGGAAAATTAAAACACTAACTAGAGTTTTTCAGAGTCTATGGATATTCATCTCCTCTGGGCTCTTTGAAAATGAAAGTGAAGTTAGGATGAAGGGAAAACTCATCCCAGTTTATCTTGTCCCTTGTATCTTCAACACATCTCTATCTTGTGAAACCTTTCAATCAGCACTCTCAAGTCTCCCCATCTTAAGAACAATGTGTCTATGTAACTTTTGTGTTCTTGCCGTAGAGTTATCTCAAGCCATGCCGTTTGGAGAGGATTCTGTTATTGCTTAGAAATTTCAAAGGATTCCTCCTCTTTGAATAGCACAGCACTTAGAATCAAGCCTTTCTAGAATTAGAGAAAGGAAGGGAGGGAGGGAAAAGAAAAAAACCTTCCTCCGCAGTCCGTCTTTCTCTTGCTACCACCCTTTCTCCCTACTCCTTCACAGTTCAGTTTCTTGAAATCAACCAGCTGTGTCTCGGTTCCTGCCCCATCACTGCACTGAAAGGGCTCTTGCTATGGACACGAGGACCTCCCGCTACCTAAATCCAATGGATGTTTCTCTCCTCATCTTCCTTGACCTCTCAGATGCGTTCATAACTGTTGAATATTCTCTTCTGAATGTTCACTCCCACCTCACGCAACCCCTGAAATCACACTCACGGTTTTGCTCCTTCCTCTTAGGTAGGGGCAGATATGTGGCACCTGAAGCTTATACAGTTTGGGGCTCTGCTCTGCTTTACTTTGAAAATTTTATAAAAATTTACGACCATGTAAGCAATTGCTGGGGCTCCTCCCAGGCAAGAGAAGGACCCAGAATCTTAAGCTTCATTAGCTTCAAGGTAGATCTGCCTCTGACATCAGGCCACTCTTCAATCTTTTTTGCCAGCTAACATCCTCTCCCTAACCTTTTTTTCTTTTTTTTTTTTTTTGAGGAAGATTAGCCCTGAGCTAACACCTGCCGTCACTCCTCCTCTTTGCTGAGGAAGACTGGCCCTGAACTAACATCCATGCCCATCTTCCTCTACTTTCTATGTGGGACGCCGACCACAGCTTGGCTTGCCAAGCGGTGCCATGTCCGCACCTGGGATCCAAACTGGCAAACCCCGGGCTGCCGAAGCCAAATGTGCACACTTAACTGCTGCACCACCGGGCCAGCCCTCTCCCTAACCTTTGAATGCTGAAATTCCTCAAGACTCAGTTATAGGCCCTCTTTTCTTTTTAACTCTACCCCTAAGTAAGTTTTTCACTTCTAGCTTATCTATTGACCAAGGATTCCTAAACTTTTATCTTCAATCCAGACTTCTCCATACATCTGAGTATTTGACTTCCCTATTTGCTGTCTTAAATCTAGATTATCTGAAACGGAACCATGATATTTCTGATCAAGCCTGGTCCACTTTCACAGTTCAGTGTCTCAGTGAATGATACGACCATGGACGTTACTCCATAATTCCCACAAATTAGGATAAACCATTGTGATACATTCTCATTGTACCCTATACTTTTGCTTCATAGTGTTCATCCTACTTTGTAATTATATATTTAGTTTTATAATTACTTGTGCAATGTCTCCCTTCCCCCTTTGATGATAAACTCTGCAAGAGCAGGGACCAAGTCACCATTTTATCTTCAGACCTAGCAAAATGCTTCACGACTAGTTAATGTTCAAATGGCGTAGGTTGAATATATGACTGCAAGAAAGAAAAATTCGTCCTTGTAACTTTTGTGTTCTTGCCACAGAGTCATCTAACTGCATCCCCTTTGGATTCTCTTACTCTTTAGAAATTCCAAAGGATTCCTCCTCTTCGAATAGCAAAACACCTCCATTTGTCATTTTCCAAATCTGGTCATTCTCAAATACAAAGGAAACAAGTGCATGAAATGCTAGCTGCTGGGAGAAATGTGGAACTATTCCATACCTAGCTACTAAAGGTATTCTGAGGGTCTTAAAAGGTAAAATGGCATTTGTTCTATTAACCATAGAGAAAGAGCTCATAATACTGAATTAGAGGCAAGTTTAAGGAATTTTATTCCCTGGTTTATTGCAAATGTATAAATGAAATTAAAACAGAAGATTCTACCTTGGTTAAAAAGGCACTATTGTTTTGGTCTCATTTTGCTAAGTGAATCATACAAGCTCTCTTTAAACAGGAGTATAACAGAGGACAAAAAAGCATCTTGTTTAGATTAGTTCTTCCATAAAATTCTCCAGCGCTTGGGGGTGATTCCACCCAGGAGTTTCCCCTTTTGAAGTTAACCCCTATGCATAGTTATTGCTGTTCTCTTCTACTTGTTCTAACTCAGAGGACCCAAGATTTTCTAGAAGTACCAAGGCAGTGTGTGTATTGCACTGGTTTAAAAAATTTTTTTAGGTTGAAGTAAAATCTTACGGAGAAAGCCAAAGTGTAAAGCAGACAAAGCACAGGTGCTCTTCTCTATGGGGTGGGTTGAAACTCATTCTATGCATATAAAATAATAATTCTTGCTGTTTCGTGTCAATCACAGCTCCGGGATCTGAAGATAAAGGAATGAGTAAATTTGTCTGCATCCAGCTATATCCCCAGAGAGGCATTCTCCACAGCAACTTGCTTTTCTTAAATGTAAGTAATGTTCAGATCATTTTTCTCAGAGAAAAAGATTTGGGGGACTTCCAAGATTGGCTTATTTTTTATTATAATTGAACAAGTGCAAACGTAAATTAAGTATACAATATTGTTTTACATTTGTAACTCTACAACTGATGAAGGCCCAAGTTATCTACTCAAAACCTTTAACGTCTGCCAAATTCCATTCTTAATCCATCAGGATACAGAGACCCTTTTAGTTGCCTCCCAAGCACACAGTCTTTGTTCTGCTTTCCTAACAGAGGGTAGCCTAGGTTTGGGCAAGGGACAGTCTCTCCCTGGGAGGGGTTACTGCAGGGCTCCGGGGTCAGCACTTCCTATGAACCAAATCCTTTCGCAAGGACTGAGTGACTTTGGGGGAATTGTGGGACAATGGACTGTTTCTGTACCTTTAACCTGCTGTGACTCTGATTAATAATGCTTCGTTTAAGTGCAAATTAGATGGCATTTTAGTGTCTTCATCTGCCCAAGGGTTGTCTAATATATAACAAATATGCAGTTCTAATGTATTATAGTTTGCAGAAAGATTTTTATATTCTGTCTAATGGCTGACTGACTTTATGGTTTCAAATGTCCTCAGTTTCTCAAATAAAAGAAACAGATTTGGATAATGGGTTTTTTTTTTTTCAGTTTATTCAGTGTTAGAAAAAAATAGACCATTTAAAATGATCTTTAGCTTTTTTCTTCATTGAAAAGAGACAAGATTAAAAAAAGAAAAATATGAAGAAGAAAGAAAGAAATGTTAGGATAATGAATATATATGTGTCTAGGAGAAAGCCATTAGGCGGAGGGAAGGGCTAAGAGAATCCCAGGCATGAGAAAAATGTAAAAATTATATCTCTTTTGAGAACATGTAGAGTAATCTGTCTCTCTTCACATAACAAACTGTTTATAGAAGAATAAAGGCACCAAAATCTGCAGTGCGTCTGATTGGATCTCATCTCTCTAAGGAGGAAGGAAAGGGCACTGGGAGGTCATGACCCTCTGACCTTGAATTCATTTGCTTTTGTACCCACAGAATTCTGGTGTAGTGAGGAAATCCTGAGAGAAAGCATTGGGACCAGGTTATTTTGGGGGTGGAACACATCCAAACACTGTTCCAGAATCTCTGACTCGAGTTTATGAAAGCTAGAATCACATTCTGGAATCTCTATCCTACAAAATATTTCTTGGCTATAAGTCAGTTGTCCAAACAAAAGTCAAGAAAAATAAGCAATAATGACAAAAAAGAACTTGTTCAAGTTGCACACTATTTTTAGGTATTCTCCTCCTTCGTGTTGGCGAAAAGAAACTGAGTTTTTGAGATCACCACTGAGTCACTGGAGCACATATTACCTGAAGCCCACTTCATCTCTTGTCTTTCCATTTATATGAACCAATAAATCTCCTTTAGTTTTTTAACTAGTTTGAATTGAGTTTTCTGTTACTGGCAACTGAAAGCATTCAAACTGATGAAATGTACATCCTGAGCCATTCACAGTGAGCTAGACAGGTACTTTTAAGTTTCAAGGAATACAGTGAGATTATCTCACATAGAGTTTGTCAAAGTATAGCTAGAAATATATGGAAGACAAGAGTTTGCATCGGTGAAACTCACTGAGAAATGTGACATCTTTCTGGTCATACTACAAGCACGCAGAGAAAAATGGAAGGTCATTTCAGAGGATGCACCTCTAGAGACCAGGTTTTCTTAGCGTCTTTACGATCTTACGGTAATTATGATTCAGTGCAGCCTTGCCTCTATTTATCTTGCTTTCCTTCTGCTTTCCTCGAACAATGTTTGTTTACATTGGCTCTTTCAAAGTCTGGTGATCCTTGATGTTCTGTTCTATTTAATAGTGAGGCAATGAACAGCTTTAGGCTCTGTGCGCACGGGAAGGCTTGTTGACTCATGTGCTTCACTTTTGAGGCAGCAGCATTACACTCAGGAGCCCCTAAATTCCAGAATGAGGAAGTCTTTGCTCAGAGCCATTTGATGTGTTCAGAGAGGACATTTCTGAGTGTTTGTCTGAGAAATCAATGCCTGGCTGCCAGGAGTTCTGTATGGAAGCCACATGTGTGCATGTGTGTGTGTTTGTGTGTGTGGTAGTGGTGGTGACAGTAATGTCTATTGCTCCAATCCCCACGTTTTGCACCTGACGTTTTATTTCCCTTCTTCCTTGTACCTGGTGTTTCGGTGTTCCCAGCTTCTCTGCAGTTTTAGGAGGTAGATTAGCTCCCTCCTCAGCTGTAGTGCCTTAGGCCCTCAGGCAGTGCTCCTCAAACTGTCTGTGAAGGGTCAGGATTTGGGGGTTTTGTTTTGTTTTTAATTTCCAAAGTATCACTCACCACTGCACTTAAAATGAATTGCTAGGAAAATAATTACATGCTTGGATGTTGTGTCAATGTAAACTTGCTAAAAAGGTTTTTAAAGAAACTTTTAATTTCTTTGTGGACCAGACTGTAGACCACACTTGGAGGAGAAATACTCCAAGGCCTTGTGACTCCAGGTATGGTCCATCAGAAACACTTGTGTCCCTTGGGAGCTTAGGAGAAATGCAGACCCTCAGGCATCACCCCGGATTACTGAGTTAGAATCTGCGCTTTAACCAGATCTCCAGGTGATTTATATGCACATTAAAGATCTTAGGGAGTTTCCACTCTTTCATCTGGTTTTTGTCTTCCAGGAATGTGCTGCTATGTCTTTACCTAGAAGGCTTTTTCTTCAGAGCTTCAGACGCTGGCATCTTCTCATTTGTGTTTCTGATCAAATGTCACCTCCATGGAGAAGGCTTCTCTGACTCTCCCGTAAAAGTAGTAGTAGATTCTTCCATGTCATGTTACCCTGTATTATTTTCTATATAACATTTATCACCATCTACAATTATTGTTGTCCCCCGTCATGTTCCCCACCCCCAGCTAGGATATAAGCTCCATGAGAGCAGAGATCTGGTCTGTTTCACCTCCTGCCCTGTTTCCCAGTGCTAGCACGGTGCCTGGCAGGTGGCAGGCATTCGATGCTGCCTACACCCTCCTTCTGTTTACCTCATGACTTCTGCTCCCATTTAGCTCCTACTGCCTCACTGCTTCTGTTTATTACTTTCTCTATGTGTCTCTCTGAATTTGTAATAGAAAGCTCAGCCCAAATTGGCTTATAAAATAAAAAGGATGCTGGCTTATGTAACTAGAAAGGTTCAGAGTAAACACAGTGATCAGACATAGTTCAGTTAGGGCTCTGGCCCTATTTCTCTCTGATTCTTTCAGCTCTGCCCATCTCCATGTGTCATCTTCCTGTTCAGGCTGACAGCTGGATAGCAAGAGCAGTTCCAGCTCTCACGTTCACACAGAATGCCATCCAGAGACCATACACCGCAGTTGCTCTCTGTTTGAGTAAGTAAACTTCTGTCCCCAAAACCTCCTGCAACATTCCTCCAGCATTCCTTAGACTGAACTGTATCACATGCCCATTCTGAATACATACATAAACACATAGAGAATGGTATAATTACAAACAATAAAATGTATGGATCTTAAGCGTACATTTCACCAAGTTTTGACTTATATACATTCACAGAGACACCAACCAAACCAAGATGTAGACTGTTTTCATCACCAGTGAAGCTGCCTGTGTCCTTTCCAGTCAATCAGATGAGTAGCAGTGCCTTGCTGAGCCATACTGGAGCAGAGGCAAAAGGAACAATCAGGAATACTGATCCTGTCTTTATTTAAAATGTTGATGTTATATTTACATTGATTTTTTTAAAAATTGCCTTAAAATATGATTTATCTTAATGACTGGGATTTTTTTTTTGGTGTCCCCCCTCTTAAATTTTGTGCTTGAGGTGAGGGCCACACTCACCTCTTCCTAGTTGTAACCCTGTAGTCAGTGAGCCTTTGCCTCTGCTTCTGTCTTGAAATGATCTCTGCATGTGGTCTCTCCACATGGTGGCTTCCGAATAGCTGAACTTCTTACATGGTAGCTGAAGGTTCCCAGAGTAAGTGCCCACGAGAAGCCAGCAGGCCAGTTGCATTCCTTATCTGAATTAGCCTTGGAAGAAACCCAGGGCAGCTTTGGCCATATTTCATTCATCAAGGCAGTTACAAAGGCTCGCCAGTACAAGGATAGGAGACGTAGACTCTATCTCTTGATAGGAGTAGCAAAGATTTCGCAGTGTATTTTAAAACCACCGTGGATCCTATTGCTTTTACAGCCAATTTTGGGTAGTAGCAATTAGCCCTTATTTTGGAGTATTACAAATTCCTATCCAAATGAAATTTTTAAAAAATTCATCTTGCTTTCAGTTTAAATTATCTCCTCTTTGCCTCTAGGTTTAGTTCGCTATTGTTGGTTTTATTTCCTCCCTCCTCTCCATTCACTCACTGCTGTTTCTGGCTCTTCCAAGTTAAGGGTAAGAAGCTGGGAATAAGATGAAAAGCAACAAAAATATCTCTTTACTTGGCTGGATGTTGTAAACTATCTTCAATGGCAGACATCCAAAAGCTAACTCCTTCTTTTAGGGGGTGATTTAGTGAGTTATTTGGAGACCTCCTCCCCTCTGCCTCCTTGGACCTCTGCCCATTGTGGGGATGATGTACATTCCTGCTGACCTTGTAAGACTCCCCTTCAACTCCTGCTTTCCTGGTCCACCCCACACGGCCTCTTCCTGCTAGGGTTTACTCCATCCGGGCAGGCAGTCCTTTTGGGAAATCCTTTCGAAATGGCCCTACTGTAGACCCACTACCTTCCAAGTTGGCTCGATGGCACCACACATAAACTCAGCAACTCATCCCCAACCAAATCTGCAGATTGATCTTGGACTTGCCATCACGAGCAATTCTAGACAGCCTCTCATTCAAACTTTTCTAGGGGAGAGTTAGACAGTAATCTCTGTGCCACCCAAACTCCAGAGGTCCCGGATCAAGTTTCCCTAAAGTCTTTCTCATTACGCTGTTTCAATAGCTGTACCAGGCAAGACCTCCCTTTTACAGCTCAACAAGCATCAAGACTGGGTGATGAAATACTTCCCCTCAACCAAAGTAGATGATAGGGAATGGGGGTCATGATTCCTGTTGAATTTGTTAGTAAGTGCTGTGGGGACATGTCTAGTTCTTCTGTTTAGAATATGTGGATCAAATCCAGATTTGGGACTTCATCAAAGCTTCAGGACAACAAAAATGTCCCAAATGACATTGCTAATGCTTCTGTTATCGCATAGTAGAGTCACATATTATAGTGTCTGTTGCTGGTTCATGTCCCATCTGTCTCATTTCTCACATCAATATCACATTGTTTTAACTACTATAGCTTTATAATATGTTTTCATCACTGGTGCGCTCTCATTAGTATTTTTTCCTTAAAATTCTCATAGCGTTTTTCACCTGATAGAAGAATTCTATAATTATATACTTTAACTTATGTAAATCAAGAATATTAGAAAATCTAAAAATAATCCCAAACAGAATTTGCCATTTATTTTCTCTTTTAATAGAATCTGAAGTAATTTACATCTTTCTTTACAAGTAGTAACATTTGCAGATTTTGTTGAATCTACATTTTAGAGGCAAATATATAAGAGCAATAACAGCAGAGTCTTTGAGATGTGGTTCTTTCCCCAAAGTTCTCTTTAGGAGTGCAGTCAGCCAGAGGCCACCTATCAAGTTAATTCACGATATGGTGTTGAGTGAATTATCAGATCTGCTTTGTCAGTGATAGCTTAAAAATGCTGGTTACTTAGAGGCAGTTGGAAGCTGACTGAAAAGGAGTAGTGAGGAGAAGACTAGAGAAGAGAACTACTTTAAAACTATATGCTGCATCTATATATATTACCCATGCCTTTTAACGTCTTTGCCTTCCCACTGTTAGTTCTTCATCCTCCCATTGTGGTAATGATTACTGAAATTGAAAAAATATATATATATCTGGACAAAAGCGAAAGTTTCAAATTATCCATAGGGTGAATAATTAGCCTCTAGAAGGTCTTATCTTTTTTGCAAGAAGATGTATTAAAGAAACATAAAGATTATATTTTCCAAAAAAGTGTATAAAGTGAATGAACATAGTACAGTCTTAGTAGTCTTAGGTCAGTAATGTGATTGCAAAATTGAAAAGGGCAAGGTGAAAAATTTGACAAGAGCAAACTGACACGTCAGTAACATCATTTCAGTGAAAGATTTGAGTTTCTACTTTAGAAGGCTTTGCCTCTTCACTATAGTCTCTGAATTTCGGCTCTCTATCTCAGTGATACATGTCATGGTCTTTATGGAATAGTCCACTTATTGAAAAAACTTGCTCTAATTTACTCGACAAGTAAGGTCTTATTTATATTTGATATTAGTTAAATTCTGAGGCTTTTTTATTTTATCTTATGTTGCAATTATATTACATGTAACAAATGACGTGAAGACTAAGTTATATGAAGAATATTTAGTACAACATTCAGTATGTTGAGTGTAAGATAAAATTTAAGAAGAGATTAATTTGGTATATATGTAGTAAAGTACATAAATATTATTATGCCTTATGATAATTATGTATATATAGCATGCAGATTCACTGAATTATTATTAAGGATTTTTTCACATAGACACGTCAGGTAAACTTGGGAGAGCAAAAAGAGGAATTAGACTGAGTAGGAACTGTTCTGTATTCACTCAAAAGCCCAGTGGAATTAAGAGCCCAGAAAGACCTGGAACTAGGTGACCAAATAGTCAGAAAGGAGGGTCCTACGCCTTATTTTATTTAGGGCAGATTTGCAGCCTCTACTCTTGTTTCACTTTCATTAAGTAATTAATAACCTTGAACACAGCAGGAATGGGTGTCAAGCAAATGGCTACCGCTCATTCTTTAATAAATAAGGCTGAGAACCTGGTATGATCCAGGCATTGAGATCCTCACAGAAACAAAGACTATGTAGCTCCTGCTCCCAAGGCACTCACTTTGCCTCGAGACATGAATGGAGGACGACAATGGAGAAGGGGTGCTGCTATGATGTCCGTAATCACAAGACCCTCCTTAACGTTTTACTAAGGGCACTAGGGAGCTACTGAGGAGTTTAAGACAGGGAAGAACATGATCAACTTTATGAGTCTCAAAGACAAAAAGGTAGACAGAAATTATGTTTTCAGGACCAGGCCTTCTTTCTCCCTTCCTTCTTTTTTGAGGTCAGGGGCAATGCGTTTTAAGCCTTTAGCCAGGTCCAAACCTAGAGTTCTGAGGCAAAGAGGGGAAGGAGTGATGGAGTGAAGGACACCCCAAACATGGGGGTGATATGTACATCCAAAAAGGTTCAGGAATAGTATTCCCTCTCTTTGTCCATGTACAGAACAGTTTTCACTCAAAGTCTGGTTTCCTTTCATCATGTGTCCAGAATCTGTCTGTAGCTTGTAAAATTGACCCAGTTCCTATCTGAAAGCCATCTCTACAACCAGCTCTCTATGATCTCTGATTTCTGGGCTTCTGAAGGTCCCCATTGACATATTTTCTAATACCTACACATGCTACTTACAACAAGGGGCATACTGTAAACACTTTCCCACTACCACCACCATAGCTCCCAACAGCACAACTACTACCATTTCCGCAATCACCTCCACTACCATGCACCGCTGTGATTAACACCAACAGCATCCCAACAACCACCAGCATCCTGTATGACTTCCTAGGTCAGGCAGTGATTGTGTATCTGGACAATATTTGAGTATCCAACTCTGAGCCCTAGTTGGACCATTCTGTGTACACATGCATTCTGGTGTGAACTGGGGATATGTACTCCCAAAATCAAATTCTGGGACATTTCCTTTCTTCTCAGTGAAAACAGAGAAACTAGTGAAATTAGCTACAGTTGCTTTTTTCCCTGGCCTCTCCAACTTGATTTACTTTTGATTTGTTTTTCCAAATATCTTCCTGCTTCTTTCCATATCTTGCATGTAGTGTTTTTCTTCCAGGTCCAACATCTCTACAGAGTGATATGTGATCTTAGAAAACCCCCAATCCTGACACACCCATCAAAACTACATGTTTTGAATTGCTCTGTGGCCGTTTTTACCCAAGAACTTCCGTACTAGATTGCCTGACTTGACCTAGTTCAGAATCAGTGAACAGTCTCAGATAAGGTCTTCTTCCTGAAGTTTTCTCTTCTCTTGGATTTCATGTAGTTCTTCTCTCTTGATTATTTATTCCCAATCTTCTTTCTGTAAAAAAAATTTGTTGAAATTTTTTTATTGTTCTCCACTTTGGTATTGCTTTTCTTTTTAGAGATAGGTGTCCTCAAAGTTTCCAAACAAAACCAAGCTTTTTATGTATCAAAATGATTGTGTCTTGAAATCTTGACTTCTTGGTTGCAGCTACTTTATCAAAGTAAAATTTAAATTTATACATTTTTTCATCACTCAGATTCTCTGGGAAGCATGAAGTTTATTGGAGAGTGCCCTTGGGATCAGCAACTGAGTGAGGAGTTTGTGAAAGGAGTAGGACTAGGCAAAAGGAGATGTGGAATGTTATAGTATTGTGATAAAGGCCTCAGCAGATCCCAAAGTTTGCTCTGGAACTGAGATGGCCCTTTAGAATTGCCCTACCTTAAAGAAAGGAGTCTGGCCTTTTGCATGTCCATGGAAATTGCCTAACTTGTTAGACATTATTCCCAAAGATTGTTTTAACATCATCATTCTTGCCTATAACTTTGTAGACTTTGCTTTAACAAATTGCTTTTCCAGATATTTTCCTAATTCCATAGTTGTTTTTCATATGAAATCTAATTATATTGAGTGGGTTTTGCCCACTTCTCCTTCTCTCCGTACACAAGGGTGCAGTGCACAAAACGCAGTGCCAAGTACAGCATGATTAGGGTACAGTCAGCTTAACAAATTACTCTCAAGTGGAAGGAGACAGAGGCGTGACTGACTCAAGCCTGGAAAAGCAAATATAAGGGTCAAGTCCAAAGGAAGAAGCAGGGTAACAAACAGGAAAGGTAGTTGGGTATCAGGATCAGGACAGATACTGGAGCAGGGAAGAAACTGGTACAGAGCCAAGAGCAGATTAAAAACAAAGCAATTGCTACAGATAGCACCCAGTGACCACAGTTTGTCTTTATTAGTCATTTAGTCCTGAATATGTGGTGAAGGGAGTTGTTAGTATGGCTAAAAGGACACAAAGAGAGTGGACATTTTCATATTTGGGTTAATTTCAAGAGAAATGAACCAAGAGTGAGTCATGGAGAAATAGAAAATCTGAACAGACCTGTTACTAGTAAGGAGATTGAATCAGTGATGAAAAACCTCCCAACAAACAAAAGTCCAGGACCAGATGCCTTCACTGGTGAATTCTACCAAACATTTAAAGAATTAATACCCATCCTTCTCAAACTCTTCCAAAAGATAGAAAAGGAAGGAACACTTTCAAACTCATTTTATGAGGCCAGCATTGCCCTGATATCAAAATGAGACAAGGACATCACAAGAAAAGAAAATTACAGATCAATATCCCTGATGAATATAGATGCAAAAATCCTCAACGAGAACCGAATTCAACAGTCATTAAAAGAAACATACACCATGATCAAGTGGAATTTATTCCAGGGAGGCAAAGCGGATTTCACATCCATAAGTCAATCAGTGTGATACACCACATTAACAAAATGAAGGATAAAAATCATATGATCATCTTAATAGATGCAGAAAAAGCATTTGACAAAATTCAGCACTCATTATCGATAAAAAAACTCTCAACAATGTGGGTATAAAGGGAATGTAACACAACATAATAAAGGCCATATATGACAAGCCCACAGCTAACATCATACTCAATGGTAAAAAGCTGAAAGCTATTCCTCTAAGAACAGAAAAAAGACAAAGATGCCCACTTTCACTACTCTTATTCAACATTGTAATGGAAGTCCTAGCCAGAGCAATTAGGCAACAAAACAGAAATAAAAGACATCCAAATTGGAAAGGAAGAAGTAAGTGTCACTATTTGCAAATGGCATGATTCTATATATAGAAAGACCTTAAGACTCCACCAATAAACTGTTAGAACTAATCAACGAATACAGTAAAGTTGCAAGATAGAAAATCAATATGCAAAAATCAGTTGTGTTTCTATACACCAATAAGAAACTGTCAGAAAAAGAAATTAAGAAAACAATCCCATTTACAATTGTATCAAAAAGAATAAAATACCTAGGAATAAATTTAACTGAGGAGGTGAAAGACCTGTACACTGAAAACTATAAGACATTGATGAAAGAAATTGAAGAAGACATAAAGAAATGGAAAGATATCCCATGCTCACGGATTGGAAGAATTAATATTGTTAAAATGTCCATACTACCCAAAGCAATATACAGATTCAATGCAATCCCTATCAAAATTCCAATGGCATTTTTTCACAGAAATAAAACACACAATCCTAAAATTTGCATCGAACCACAAAAGATGCATTTCTTACCTGTTTCTGCAAACAACATGTTTCAGTTTCCTTGGCCAACTGGCTTTCGGTTCATTTCCACCAGTGGAAGGGCAGAAAAAGGGAGGAACCAGTTTTTGCCCTCTTTCTCTTTGCTTTGGGCAGCCTCTGGCAGTGCCTTGTCTCCTTGGAGCTTCCTGCTCCCTCTAAATGGATACAGAGGCCTCTATCCATCCTACTCTTGAGCTCTGGTCAACTTGCCTTATCCCTTTGTCCCTTCATCCCTAATATCTTGGAAGTCACCATCCCCCCTTTGGTTTTTCTACTTTTCCAGTACCTGTACAGCTCTTTTCTCATACTAAATTCCTTTTATTAAACTAGCTGGCATAGGCTCTGTTTTTCTGACTGGACTTTTGATATACTCATTAACTTTTTGTGTCTCCTTGCACAAAATGAGGATTGCACTGGCTTCTAAGGTCCTTTTAGCCGTTTTATTGGAGATTACTTCCCACCACACTTTCCCTGTGATCTTGCATACCCATCCATTCACTCATTCAACAAATACTTGTTATGCCACTACCAAGTGTTAGGCACTGTTCTAATTGCTGAGGATACGTACAATAGTGATAAAAATTAAAAGTCTCACTCTCATAGAGCTTGCATTGTATTGTGAGGTAGGATAAGCAACTGTCCCTGTTTGACTAGGACTGAGGGGTTCTCCAGACATAGGACTTTCAGTACTAAAATGGGAAAATCCCCAGGCAAATTGGGATGGTTGGAATGGTTGTATAGGGAGATAGATAAGGAAAAGTAATTTTTAAAAAGTTTGAGGTGGTAATAATGCAATGAAGAAAAGTAGAGCAGGATAAGAAGAAAGGAAGCGTAGGGGTGCATGAGGTTTTTATTTGATAATATTGTCTGGAAGACATTTTGGATGAAGTAAGAGTGAGCAGAGCCCTGGATAATGCAGGAAAAAAATACTGCAGATATCCAGGTTGAAAGACCAGTCAAAGGAAAGGCCCTGAGACTGACATATGTTTGACATAGGTATCAGTCATGGGTCCGGCAGGAAACAGATGGCATCAATAAATAAACACAAGGCAGGGAGATGGGACACCTTGAGGGATAGTGTAGGACTTAACGCTTAGTAACTGTGAAACTTTTACAACTCCTAGATTTGAAGAAGCAACAGAAGGGAGAAGTTTCCAGAACTTGGAGATAGAGAGGCCTGTGTGGAATAGGGTTGCTGACAGCAAGTGAGGCCTTCAGTGGCCCTTCGCAAACACGTCCTCCTCTCAAATCTCCTCTCCATCCTCCTCATTACTTCAGGGAGGGAGGTGAAGAGAAGACAGCAGAACAGAAAAGGAGGAGAAGAAAATCAATCAGATGGTATTAATTGAGGGAAAACATAGGACAGCAAATAGTAGTTTTCCTGTTCTGGTGTTCCAAGGATGGCTAAGTTCATTTTGATTCCTTGCCTTATAGTGATAAAATCTTCTTCTCTGTTGTCTAGCTACAAATTTTTAGTGCATCTGTGGCTACAAATGTTGTGTATGTGCTGTGTGCATGCAGAAGTGCAGACTGTGAAAGAGGATGGCTTTTACAGATGGACTGGCATGATGTGGAAGAGTCAGAAGCACATGCGGAATAAGCAGGGCCTGGAAGACGGGAGTGACCACAAGATCAAATGTCACCTAGGAGTTTGCCGAAATCCTCGAGAGGACCTTGGACATTCATATACTCTGAAATTGAGGATTTGAACCAATCTTGGACATTCATATACTGTGAAATTGAGGATTTGAGCGATCATAAGGTACCATCACCTCTAGGTGACATCTATAATCCTTCAACAACTCTAACAGGTCGTCATTATTACCTATATTCATGGATAAAAAAAGCTATTTCAAAGAAATGGAGTTGCCTGTCTTAGTTCACATAGAATTAAGCTGAGTCATGGATTTCTTACTATGCTGAGTAACTGATTTTCAAATAAAGGGAATAATCTAGATAAGTTTCTTTATAAAAACATACAATAGTAATGTGTAAAAGTGGAACTTTATGGTTTCTCAGAGGCCTTTGTATAATTCCTGATCTCTAACGTTGATGATTTCTTGGGCTTACTGTGTTGTCCTGTATGGGCAACTTAATAGTTTGCAAGTTAGAGATTTGTCTTTGCAGCACAGTTATTTTGTTAAATAGAATAATTATATTTGGTACTTAATGGTTAACTTAATATTATGAGCCCTTAAGTGACATTTTTAAAGCTCATACTCTTTATTTTGCAACACCTTAAACCTGTTTCACATCAAATGTTTCTACAGAAATTTCAGGTGAAGGGCAAATTGAATTTGAATCTATGGTTCTTCCAAGTTAAGCTTTTGCATGTTATGGCAGGTTCTTAAGGCACTTTGGTTCTCATTTTAGAAGCGCCTCCAACGATGCCTAAATAAAAGCTAGGTTTGAAGCCTAAAATACATTCCCTTAGAACTTACATGTATGTCTGTCAATGCAAGTAAGTGGAACTGTCACAGACATACTAAAACCTAAGCATATGTAAATCTCAACATAGAAGGCAAAATATCGTTGATCCAGTCCTGTTTGCGATATGGAATAATGGATCTGTGATAGAATTGGTTGTCTAATACTTCACCAGCCTGTGAGTACATGACACCACACAAAAAAAAATGGCTCGTAGAACCCATGTACCTATGCAGGACCATGGCCTCTCTCGTTATTTTGGGTTGTCCGCAGTCTGGCGGTGAGTTGCCTGTGCTCAGGAACATAACCACTTACAATCTTCTTTTAGCAGTTCTTGTCAATACTGCTGGGCACTCCTTCTGCTGATGGTGCTCTCTGTGGGAATGCTGCATAAATGTTCTCTGCTATGGCCACCTGAACACTCAGGGTGCCTTGCATGGCTGCACTGTGTGGGAAGGAAGAATGGGCTTCATCCTAAGTCCTCTTCCCAGCACTGTTTATACACTTGGTCCAAGAGGGAGCTTCCCACCTCAGGGTATACCACAGGTGATGAAGGATTTATGCCCTCAGCACTCTGGGTGGCTGGGCAGGGCTGAGGGGCATAAGGAGCCCCTGTGTTGGTCATGAGCTGTTTCATCCATTTCCCCAGAGTGTTCAAATATTATTCCTTTCTGTGTGGCAATGATATGAAGTATGGTGAGTACCACTGGCTAATAAAATCTTTGAAGAACACAAATCCTGAGGTTATTCTAATCTTCCTTTTAGAGACACTAAATCAACTAGTGAGGCTGGGTACCTGAGAAGATACCATCCCACTTTCTCCAGGATGCTCATCTTTTCTCTGCTCACCTCAAAGACATCATCAAAACAATCCCTTCCTACAAAATAAAGGAAAAATAAACACACAAAAACTTCTCCTTTTTGTTCTAAATCAAAGACCTATCTTCCACATACTTATTCTAAGTATCCAAGTTCCACTAGCAACCTAGACAGATGCTGGATTATAATAAAATACTTTATTTTAATACTTTAGAATATATTGGGTTAGTTAAAACTTCATTAAAGTTAAAATTATTGTATAAAATAGAAATCTTAGAAAATACAGTAAGCTTATGTGACAGAGACTACTATTTTTTATACAATTTCATTCCTCCCTTCTTCCTTAGTGACAGAACCCTAAATTTTTCAGGGTGGCTAGGCATGTTGGGAAAGGCAATCTATCATGAGCCCTGAGTATGCCTGCATGCTCCTGCTGGGTCTGCCAAGAATGCAAGGGCCTGACTGCTCTTGACCCAGGCCATTTTTCAGGGGGATTTTTTGCAGTAAGCAGAACCAAGATCAGGCTTGCTTACTGCTTGCTATAAAATGTTGGGTGTCCCCAAACTCAGAGCTTTTCTTCTGTAATGCAACCCATTGCATGTGCAGGCTTCCATCCAGGTCCGTGGCATCATTCCTATGGGACTTAGCAGCTAAGGCAATCTATGCAAATATGCTGTGCCATGTTTACTAAAGATCCAGGAGTCTCCTGTCTTTTGTCAGCATCCATAAAACAGTAACAGGATAACCTAGTAGCTTCTAAATTAGGTAAAATAAAACTCCAGACTTAACTTGTGGAAAAGCACATTGCAGGTAGGTGTGACTACATTTTGGCCAAGGATCTATAATTAGAAGTTATTGGGGGGGGCTGGCCCTGTGGCTGAATGGTTAAGTTTTCATGCTCCACTTTGGTGGCCCAGGGTTTTGCCAGTTCGGATCCTGGACGCAGACATGGCACCACTCATCAAGCCATGCTGAGGCGGCATCCCACATGCCACAACTGGAAGGACCCACAACTAAAAATATACAACTCTGTGCCAGGGGGCTTTGGGGAGAAAAAGGAAAAAGAAAACCTTAGGAAAAAAAAGTTATTGGGAGTAACTTGTGGAAAGCTCCTTAAAGGGGAATAGATCGCTATGGTGTACTTTTTTTTTTTTGCTTTTTCTTCTCCTCCTTTCTATTGTTGGCATAAAGATAAGATGGATGGATATATAGCAGCCATTGTGGACCATGTGGTGACCTTGAGGATGGAAGCCTATACCAAGGATGGCAGAACAGAAAGGCAGAAGCAGCTTAGGTCTTTATTGAACTTTGTGGAGTTTTCATACCTATTTGGATTTACTTGCCTGCCTCTACATGGTTATTTTAGGTGAGAGAATAAACTGTGATGTCTTTGTTACAGTCCTTAGGGCTCTTCTACCTTCAGAAGTATTAAAGAAATTTTATATATTATGAACACAAAAAATGAGATATCAGTGGTTTTAAGTGTCTCAAAAGCCTTTGTAATTTCTCAGAAGTACCTCATAGGCCCTCTGAAAAAACCAATTAATGGAATTGAGAGTCAGAACATGAGAGTTGAGCAGACTTCTGGGCCCTTCCCTCATCACTTTAACTAGAGAAGGTTTAGTTTTTCATGGGTTTTGTGTCAGTTGGTATTCTGGATAACATTTTATTTGAAGAACGGCTCCACCTCTATAAGAAAGCTTGAAAACTACTGAGTTAGAGAAATAGTTTATGAAACACCATCCATATTATTATGTGAACTTGAAATTAGGAAACTTTATCTTAAGTTTACTACTTGGAATTCGTTTGATAGTTTTGTAATTGTATTTACAAGAATGGAAAATTAGTTTTAGTTGTGATGAAATGTATTTTGGCAATCCTAGTGCATGGATTTCCATTTGTAAGTAATTTTAAAAGGTTATATTCTTCCCTGAGTGTACATTTTCGAGTATCTATTATTACTATTCTACTTTATGCATTAGTATCTTGGGAAGAATATGTCCCTTAATGTAGAACCAGGGAGTACAATGTTATCATTTTTGAGAGGTTTTTTTTTGAACAATTACTAGAGGACTTTGCAATTACAACACATTAAAATACTTTTACTACTGCACAAAAATAATCTTACAAAAACTGCTTCAGCTTTTACCATAGTAAACACAGCAAAACTTCTCATAAAATATATACTGGTCTAAACAAACAAAAGATTTTTTTAAATACTACCTATCTGAAGTGGAATATAATTTAATTCTATTTTATTTAAAAATAGTCATGTATCTATTTCCTTTGAATTCAGCTATAATGTTCAGTAATGAGAGTTGGGAAGTAGTTACACAATATCCTAGCCAGTCTTGAATTGAAAGCACTAATCTTTTGTGTGATAGATGTTTTTCATAATTACAGTGGTGTTTTTAAAAGTTGGTCTAGTAAAATTCTTCCATAGCAATAATGCTATTTCTTATCTAGATAGCCACCAGAAAGGAGACTCTCAGGAACCGTACACAATGGCTCCATCTCCTTCCAGTAAAGGGAGATTATGTAGCACAGTGATCCAGAATCACCAACTGATTGAGGCTGAATAGTAGATTGAGCAGGGGTCTATCCAAAATGTTTAACAACTGGTATGGCATGGGCAATGGGGAGACAGGGGAGAGAGATCAACCTCTTCATGAGAGGAGTGGCAAAGTCACACGGCATAAGGTCATGTCGAATGGGAGGGATGTTTGTGACCATCTTTGGATGGAGAGACAATCTACTGCAATTTCCTTCTTATCTCTGGTTGCCGCCGTTGACTCAGAATTAGAAGACTGTCACAGGTGGACTAAGAGAAAGAAGAAATTGTGTGTGTGTGGAAATATTATGAACGCCTAAGTTTCCACTTGAGGTGTAGTAAGATGCCTCAGAAAGATCCAAGAAAACCCAAGCCCCAGTTCCCAGAGTTGGTGAAAATCAAGGGACCACAGTAGAATCCTGTGACTGAGTTCCAATGTCTTAGATTAGATGTTAGGAAGGGTGGTATAGAAGAAAATTTCTAGGGTGACCCCTATGATTTGTCTGCCATCTCTCAGATGTCAACTATGTTGTCTCTGAGACAGGAGGTTCTCCTGTCTCTCCAGTGAAAACACTCTAGTTACTGAACAAATTCTGATCAGTAAGATGCCCAATTCCAAATTAATATCCCAAACTCGATCTCTTCCCTATTTATAAGCAAATATAGTTAGTAAATATTATGGAAGAAAAGATCCCATTTATAAAATCAATAGAAAATATTTTAAAAACTAGGAGTAAGCTTTGTAAAACATAGGACACATATTAGAAAGACTCTGTTACTTGACTGATATACGTAAAAAAGACTTGATGGGGGCTGGCCCCGTGGCCAAGCGGTTAAGTTCTCTGCTTTGGAGTCCTGGGGTTTTGTCGTTTCAGATCCTGGGTGCAGACATGGCACCGCTCGTCAGGCCATGCTGAGGCAGCATCCCATATAGCACAACCAGAGGCGCTCACAGCTGGAATATACAACTATGTACTGGGGGGCTTTGGGGAGAAGGAAAAAAAAAGACGAATAAATGGAGAGGTATGCTCTGTTGTTAAATAAGAAGACTCAGCATCACGTCAGTTTCCTTTCATTAATCTAGAATTTAAATGTAATTCTAATAAAGATTTCCATAGAAATTTTTTTTAGGGGGAAATTGCCCCAATATTTCTAATGTATATATGGAATATAAATGTATGGAACTTTTAATTAAAGAAGATTGATAAAAAGCATTCATATTTCTCTCCAATCATGAATCCTGCTAAAATGAGAATAAATGGATATGACTATATAAAAAGAAGTCATAAATACACAAGGGTAAACATATCGGGAAAGGAGACCACAAGAACAAATTCTGGAAACTGGCAAGAGATGGAAAGCTGCAAAACCACTTGATTTGCATTGCGGTCTTGGGAATTGGTGGCACCAGATTCTTCTGGAAATGAGAGTAAAAGTAGTGCAAAAACAGTAAGATTGACCGAACATATCTTCAAGTATAAGTACACTCCTCGATCCCCTAACCCAGTCCACACAGCTTGATTATTGCCTTTTTCCCATCACATCAGAAGACTGGGGGTTTATTCCCCCAAAGGGCTCTGACCTGGGGAATATGGAGCACACTGAGGGCCAGGATATTGTACAGAAAGTAGGGTTGATAAAGTAAAAGCTGAGAAAGTAATTGTTAATACCTGACAGCCTTCACCTCAATTCAGCTCCCAGAGCACTGAAAGCCTGACCTATACTCTTAAGCATGACATTAGAAAATTCTTTACTGAGGAATCCAATCAACTCAATATGAAATTTCTAAAGATATTGATATCCCTAAAAAACATTTTAAAATAATAAAAGTACAAAACGATTGTAGGTTAAGTTCCCCAGGAAGTAGACTCTGAAATGGAGATTACCTTGCAGGAAGTTAATTAGGGAGTGCTCATGGGAACCACGTCTGTGGAAAGAAGAAAAAGGAAGGAAGCAGGATGGGGGCGAGGTAGTTGGGCTGGGATCACATCTCATGCTGACCCCATGGGAGTTCTGAAACAGTCATAGTCCTTCAAAGTTGTCCTGTGTTATGACAAGGAGATTGGGCTTTTATGCCTTCTGGCTGACCAGTCATTGCATGCAGATTGCCTCCAAGAAAGGGTCATGACGTTGTTGGCAAGAAAGTTTTCTTCAACTGGGGGCAATTTCCAGAGAGGGCAACTTGCAGCTGAGGACTGCCCTCTGGTAGCACTGCTAGCAGCTGGGGAAATAAGACCTTCAGTTCTGAAGTAGCTGGGAACACCTGCTAGATTTCCCTGCAGTGAATCCCTCCCTTGTCACGTGCACAAGTTTCCCATCGGCTATTTAGTGTCTGTGTATGGCAGGAAAGGTTAGATTATGTTGGAATAACAAATGATCTCCGGATCT